GCATATATCAAGGTAGGAAAAGTAACAGTGAGTTTTGGCTAACTTTTGAAATTCTGGATTTGAACTTTTGAAGATCTTAGCTCGTATGGCTTCTACATCCGTGAAGGTATTCGGTGATGGAAAGGAGATTGGCTTGTTCATGTCCCATGTTTGGGCTCTCAGTCAGGTTACAACTGCCTGAAGAAAAGGCTCCATTGTTTCTTAAACTGTGAGACTGACATTTTGAAAACAAACAAACAAACAACAGGCAAACCAATTCTTCTGTAGTTGAGAATAATTCTTTTCCTGAGTGTGATAGAGCATGAGTGCCATTTAAATAAATTTTCAATGCTAAAGCCAGCTCCAAGGCCTGCCACTTTATAGCAAGAGTCATGTAATGACATCTTTCATGCTCTCTCAATTTGTACAGAACTGTTTGACTTGCCCTTGTGAGCCTTACAGGAAGCAAGGAGAATGTCTCTTTGTGAGAGATTTATAAACACGTCCTTGAAGACTGAACGGAGAGGGGCATGTTCTGCTGAGGTGCTGGCAGTTTTTCTAATCTTTGCCACATTCAACTATTGTTGTGTTGTTTCACTTTAAATGCGACTCTCACCATCACGTTCTCTCCCCTAAAACCTTGCAGTTCATTATGTGCAATTTTAATACAGTCTTTCCTGAATAAAGAAGTACATGGCTATTGACTTCAGAAAGAAAATAAAATGTTTTTGTGTTATGACCTTACAGGTTTTACTTAGTCATGCAATGAGATTTTTATCTGCAAGGAGTGATAGGGTTTTACTGACAATTTGCAGAGCTTTTAGCAAAGCATTAGCGATTAAAGTACTAAAAGTTATTTTAAATGTAAAAGCCAACAGGAACTTGCATTCACTCCGTCAAAGCAATTTAATAAATTGTATTCAAATTAGCTCTTAACAAACCATGGAGCCTGCCAAATTGCGTTTTGAAAGATGAATGAGCACACCTTTACCAATAAGACCCTTTATGGCTATTTGAAATGAGCTTTTGCTAATTGTGTTTGACTGCTAGATGGGAGGCTTGGAGAAAGAAAATTTTGTCCCAGTGTACCAAATCCTGAGGTGTCTATCATTGCCCTGTGTAGTGTTGCGCTGAACTGCTGTGGTATTACGGCGAATTAAAGGGTAGTAGGCAACAAATAAGTTCGCACACACCTTTTAAATAATTAGTGAATATTTCTTAGACTGTTGCTTGGTAGTTGAGACTGGTCTCACACTCCATGAAAACAGGAAGTGTGTGAAGTTCTGAGTAACTTCTTATGCCATTTGTTTAAAAGCTTGTGGTATAAATCTTCCATTGGCAGTAGAAGCAGGGTAGATTGGTGCTCCAAACCCTGCCATGGGCTAAAGCAAGGAGGGGGAGAAGGAGAGTCACTGACTCAGCTCTATGTGGGATCTTGTGAAAATCTCAAAAGGGTTTTCTTTGGATGGGATTGTTCTGAATTTTATTTTTTTGAAATCATTGACAAATAGCAACTTGTGAAGCCAGTCTCACAGTCAGGTTTTCTTGGTGGTAGTACCCACAGTGCCTGTCTCATTTGGTGGTGATCTGCTTGTTATGTGATTCAGGCTTTTGAACTTTTTGATAGCTGGTGCTGGAGAAGAAAAATGAACATGTTTATTTTTTTCCTACAAATCTGCCAAAGTGTGTACAACACTTCGATAGTCTGCAGCTTTCAAACCATTCAAGCTTGGAGATATGGGAATAACTTCCCTATAGGAAGGGAGTATGTGAAAAATTTGAGTGCTCTCAAATTGGGGTTTATAGGATCATATGTTTGCTGAAAAAGCGAATTACATTCAGGGATGAAAGTGCAAATTTTCCATCTAGGTTCTTAATCCCTTACCAGTATGGTTTAATGTAACTGTACATGGAGCACAGCACAGGAAGAACACAGAAGTGTTGGACTGAGCCCAGGGGAGGCCACGAAGATGATTAGAGAGGCCACGAAGATGATTAGAGAGACCACAAAGATGATCATCTAAGAGATGATCTTAGATTCCATCAAAGATGATTAGATGAAACATCTCTCCTATGAGGAAATACTGAGAGAGTTAAGGTTGTTCAGCCTGGAGAAGTCTCTGAGTAGACCTTATTGTGGCCTTCCAGTACCTAAAACAGGAGAGTTGGAGTGGGACTTTTTAAGAGGGCATGTAGTGACAAGACAAGGGGGAATGGTTTTAAAATGACAACTGGTAGGTTTAGATTGGGTCTTAGGAAGAAATTTTTTACTGTGAGGGTGGTGAGACAATGGCACAGGGTGCCCAGGGAAATTCTGGGTGCCTCATCCCTGGATGTGTTCAGGACCAGGTTCAATGGAGCTCTGAGCAACCTGGTCCTAGTGAAAGGTGTCCCTGTCCATGGCAGGCAGTTGGAACTAGGTGATCATTAAGGTCCCTTCCAACCCAGGTCATTCTGGGATTAAGTCAAATAGACTATTCATATTGTCTTTCTAGTTGGTGAGGTGCAAAGTTATGGTTGTGTGGATGCAGTATGTTATCATCTTAACTTCCTCTGAAGCTGTTAGATCACAGCCTGTTAGAAGCTGTATTTCACTAAGTTCTTGAAGATCAAAGAACCAGCACTACAGCACTTGCCCTTGTATAGTTGGTCAGTGCAGTCTCCAAGTCATCTCTGTCATCCATCTGCTCCAAAGCCGCATTACTTGAGCCTATATTTCACTTTGCCTCTACTGGGAATTTTTTTTTCTTATGGCTCTCTTGATGTTTGTTTATAATGTTGAGTAAAAAAATTAATTACTATGCAATGACATTTTTACAATGAACTACTGCTTTCTCCAAATTTTAAGATGTTTCTGTCTAATTGAAGCTCTGAATGAAAAGAGTTTATACTGAACTTTTCTTACTGCTTTCACTGTTGAGTAGCAACATAGTTCTAGCCTATTTACAAAAGCTTGTCACCATTCTTCTATATATTTAGTAAACTTTGGATGCAGGTGTAATTCAGGAAGTCATGAATGAAGTTCAAAGAATTTGGCATTACACTGCTCTTCAAAAACTAAGACATGAACAGCTGGTGACACCCATAGCGTTGTTCCTTGTGTGACCAGGGTGAATATTTGCTGATGAAGGGAGAACCTGAGAGTTTTACCAGATTTGATGGTCATTCCAATTTAGATGCTCTTCTGAAATTTACAGTCTTGATTCAAACCATCTGGATGTATAAAACTGATTTTTACTCTTGCCTTGCCTGTAGGACTGTAGGGCTCTTTGTCACTACAGTCAATTTAACTCCAAATGACACTGCTGACTGCAAATTTAATGTGTTTCAGAAAAAAAATAAAGATATTCTGTAGTGATCAATTGTAGGATAAAATGTCTTTATTTCCAATTTTTTTTTGAATAATTGGCTTATAGGCCACTTTAGCTATTAAGATCAGTCCTAAAAGCCCCCCCAAACACAACAAACAAAATAAAAACACCAAACCAAACCCCCAAAACTACAAACCCCGAAAAAAGAGATTTTGGGGTTTTACCTGAGATAAACTTTCTATTTTGAAAATCAAGCATCTCAAAAGCATCTAAGCTTTAATCTGAATTCATTAGAAACTGTCTTCTTTTATAGTAGTTTTCTACTCCCCATGCACTGATTTTTTAAAAGGATTGCTACCGTATGAGGAATTAAATCTTATTCTAGTTACTCAGTTACTGGTGGAAAAACTGTACTTCTGAAGGAAAAAAAAAAAAAAACAAAACCCCTACATAAGTGTTGTAAAATTCATAAGTGCTGAAAACCGATGACAGCTTACGGGACATGCCCGATTAAAATTTGCAGCTAGAGCTGTAGTTGTCAGAAAAGTTTTTGTGATACTTATCAGCTACAAGCACCAGAAGGGACATATTTTGGTGAGTTTCTTTAAGGTCTCCATAGCTTTAACCCAAGAAACCTGGCAGGGCTGGTAGACTCAGTCTGGTCGGCAGTTTTTTGGCTCTTTTGCTGGATGGCAGCCAGTGCATTAGTGCTGGAACCGTTCCTGCCTGTGCCTGGAATTACTCCCCGGGAGACAGCACAGCCCCCACCAGGCAGCGTTATGGAGAGGCAAAGTACTTGAGTAAACTCAGGCCATCTGTTGGCTGCATAAATTAGTTTTCTCCATTTGCCCATCTAACCATAAGGTATCCACCCTTCTTTTTTTTTCCTCCCCCAAATAATGTATTTTTTCCTTTTCCAGGTTTAGTACAATGGAGATTGGTAAATGCATTTTTTACTTCTTTTTTCTTCTTTAGTTCTTGTGGTTACATGCAATTCATTATAGTGGCTTTGTTTAACAAATCAAATTATCTCCTTCATATACACTTTCTACTTTGGAAAACAGTTAAGGGGTCCTCAGAGACAACCTTTATTCATGATAGAGGAGAAAAACATTTACAGTTCTGTGCCCTCCTTCCAACCCCCATCTTTTTTCCCTTTTAATTTTTTCCTCATTTCCCCTTTTTGTTTTACTTTTCCCTTTGTTCCTCTTTTCTTATTTGTTCCTCTTCCTCTTTCCTCATGAATACTAACACTATCATATGAATAAATAGATAAGAGACTAAACTGATTACATTAGCATAACTTAGATGATTTGTTTCTATTGGTATTTGTTGTTCAGCATTCAAGGAAGAATTAAATTCAGCAGTAACTATTTTATTTCAAATTCAGTCATTTTAAAGGATTTCCATTTTACTGCTTTCTTAGCAATCCACGGGAATCAGATTCCTTGAGCATTTAGCAGTTTGATAGTTTATCACTAAAGCCAATCAGTTTTGAAGATGTATTAAATAATTTTTAGTGGTAGCTTCTTCTCAGAAAAAAATGTGAAGTACTTCTTTCATAAGGCCTGTTCGGAATTTCCTAGCAGTAGCCTTCCTGAAGCTGTCTAGTAAGACAGAGGACATCTTGATGCTTCTTCTGTCAAGTCAATTGGTTTATTTTGAATGTCTAGTGTCATTTTGATTAATTTCCATTTTTTCCTCTTGCAGATTTATAAGGATAACAAAGCTTTGTATGATGTAGAAGCAAACAACCCTCGTCAACTAGTGGAAATTGCAGCCAGAGACATTGAAAAACTTCTAAGTAACAGGTCTAAAGCCTTAGTGGTGAGTACTAACGGGTTAAGTTTTTTATGTAGTATTTTAAAAAAAAATCTTTATTTACTATTGAAACATGCTTTTATAGTTATTTTTACTGCCTATACTCTTAGAGGCAGTGTCAGTGTGATGTGTACAAGACATGACATGTAGAAAGATGGCTCCTGACTTCATGGTAAAAATGAACTCATTAGTTTGCTGACATAGGGCAGATGCTTATAATATTGACCGACAGATAGGAACCATGTCCAAGTAAGAAATCGAGTTATAAATAGATTGGAAAATATTCCTCTAAGTGACGCACATGAATGTTTATGACTTCAAGATCACTGTACTCTACCGTCAGTAATGATATTGGGGAAACAAGAAATAGGGTTTTATTTTCTGACTTGCTAATTTAACCTGTATTTCAATTATATATTGGATCAGCACAGTTAATCCTGAACTGTTTGTGTGAAGGCCATGCTGCATTGCGACCTTACAATTTTTTATGCTGTAAATAAGAAGTAGCTGTTGCTTTAAAATGCTTTTGCCATCATTCCCTTTCTCTTCTATCCTGTAAGACAGCGGACATGGGTAATTGCTTTTTATGATTCCTACTCACATCACTCTCACTCATATAAGACTTTAGAGTGCTTTTCAGAAGATACTGGCCAAACAGGAATGGGAGGATCTGGATGAAATAATAAACATGCTTGGTACAGAGTACAACTATTAGAAATAGGTTTAAAGGATGGAACAGCAGACTCGATTTCCTTGAGCAATTACATATCCACATAGGCTTGGAGATGAGTTTGGATCTGTCATTTAAAGTGAAAGAGAAAAGAAAGAGGGATTAATTCACCTAACTGTAGACATCCACTCAGCTGGTTGTCCTAAGCTCCTTTTTTGTTCAGTGGAATAAAACAGGCACTTCTCAGTCAGGACTGACCTGACATATTCTCAGTAAGACTTTAAACGGGATGAACTACAACCCAGAAGTACTTCTCTCTTTCTCAGTCGGAGAACCCTCAAATGTAAAATGTAAGTGTGTAAAGCTGGGGGAGATGAATCCCACCCAAACAGTTCTTTTATCAGTACCATTCCATGCAACTGAAGAATCAGTGTGAGTGTGAAACTACTGCTGCTATCCTGAGAACTCACCTTTTTTGTAGGCGATGAGATTTTGCATAGTTCGTCATCTGTGCACAGGAGGTACCACGGGAGGTACCTGTTGTCCTGTCTTTGGTTCTTAGCAGGAGTTCACTCTTCCAGTTGCCATCTCATCCCTAACATACAATGTACATCAGTGTTATCTGGGCAAAAACTTCTCTAATTCATTCAAATAAGCGTAAAAGAGATACGATTTTTTTGCTTGTTTTCCCGTTTTACTTCAGTGGGCATGTGCTTATGTGGCAGTATGTGGACTTTCTATTATTACCGTAGAATATTATAAGTCATTTGCAGACCTTTATGAATACACCAGTTTTTTCTCCATTTTCCCATCAACCCATGTAAGTTTGATGTTTTTAATTTATCATAGAAAAATTTTATATATTTTTCAAAACTCAAGATTAATGTAGGATTTTGTTTGTGATGATTTGATCTTAAAATTTTAAGCAAATTAAAGAATTGTCTTGTGCTTATGCAAAAAAAAACTTCCCCAGGACAGTTTTCCTGTGAATGTGGAAGAAGATTACTACCTCATTTTAGGCAAGCACATGGTCACTTTTTGGAAAGGGTAACATGATTCAGTTCTCTGATGTAAAAGAGGATTAAATTAGGAGAAGGATGTTGCTCCTAATGGCTCAGATATTTATACTGACTTTTCTATTTGTAGTTATCTCAGATATATATCAGAACTTCCAATAACTTCTGATTTTAAACCTTCCTGCATATTATTTTTTATACACAGGAAATACTTATTATCTCCTGCGCCTGAACTGTTGCTTTCTACTAAGAGAATTTCTTCATCTTCCATATGTATTTCACTTTCTGCTTTTTTCAAGGACTATATTTTTGCTGGCATTTTATGAACTTTATGTAGTGAAGCTGAATTTATCTGAAATTTCCATCTTCATAAATCTGATGGGTCACATTTTCTCTGAAATCAGGAGTGGTGTTGAATTGAACTGCTATTAATGACTGCACAGAGGGTTTTACCATTGGGGTTGATATGACTCAAAGTTTTAATTGAAACCTCAATCCTGAAAAGAGTATGATGCAAGAGCACCAGACATCCTCCAGTGATGCCATGAGGAAAGTGCCAGTGAATGACATCAACAGTGTCATTGTTCAGAGACAATCATACCCCAGGGATGCCATGATTTCCTTTAGGCATGGTGCACAATCAATCTTTGGGCAAGGTTATAATAAGCAAATATTAGTGATGACTTTTTAATAGTAAGTAATTTTCCCTTGAGCTGTAAGAGTACCTTTAAATGACAAATATCTTTTGAATTTTAAAATTACCAGGTAAAATTATCAGGTTCTGTGCATTGCACACAAAAGACTTAAATACCACAAAAAACCTTTGTGATTTCATCTCTGGTTTATATGAGAAGAGATTATAACAAAAATCTGGACAAAGGCAACTTATCCCACAGTAAGGGAAAAAAGTCTATTTTTATTTTTCCATGTGTATGACTTTACATTTGACATAAAAGCATAAAACATAAAAGTGATGTTTGAAACAGGTACCTAGCTGAGGAAGGAAAAAGGGGAAAGCCCTGATCTGAACTCAGAGGGCTATCTTAGATCACTATTACTAGTAAATGTTAGCCATAAGAGAAAAAGTTAGGATGAAAAGAAAATGGAAAATTTTCTAGCAAAGTGCAGTGGAAGAAAGTAGTATTAGTAGTAAGGAGGTAGACAGGCAACAGCCTTAAAGTCAAGGATGTCAAAGACTGTCTTGCAATAGAACCTGTTGTTCAAATAGTGAACATGTCTTTTGTATTTTACTGTTGCTTACTATTGCACATTTGCCTGGACTAACCATACTGAACACCCACTATTTCAATATTATTAAACTCCAATATCCATACGGTCCTGCAAGGAGCAGGAGGTTGGACTCAATGATCCTTATGGGTCCCTTCAAACTCAAGGTATTCTATGATTCTACTATTTCATAGCATCATGGACCAGTTCATATTCTGTCTCTGTGTTCCTGGATAAAAGGTGGTGTACAGACTAAGCTGTGCTACCATTACAACCTGCATTCCCAGGTGTCTAATGGCAGATGGGTGGAGGTTTCATTGGAAATGAAATGCAGTAACTATTGGCAAAACTCACAAAGCTTTTCCAAGGATACCTACAAATAATATGCAGTCCATTGGGCAGTCTGGCACCCAAATTGTTCATTTTTGCTAGAGTTATCCTCTGTCTTGGAGTTCCTACTCCATTTATCAGTGCAATAGCTTTCTGGAGCTATGTATATCATCCTAGTAGATAATAATCTTTCAATTTAAATGGAAACTTTAGAAGATACTAATATTTATTTAATGAGTATCATTAGAAATACTAAAAAGAGTACCCGACGTTGTACTATATTTATAAAATACGGTTTGAGGAGTTACAAATATTTTTTCATTGACTGCATAAAAATAAACTGATTTAAATAATTAATATATGTGATGGGCTAATAATATTATTTTTTTTATTGCTTATGTGAAATACTGTAGTGGTCTTAACATTTGCAAGGATCCTAATATTTGTTGCCATACTTTAAAATTAGAAAGTTATATTTTAAAAACTCATTGCTTTGCCAAAGCACTGTTTCAGGGATTTGTTTTCTGTTTATGCATTGTGTCATGAGGAGAATGAAGTATGACTTTGTTTATATAACATATACATACAACATATTCAACATATAAAAAGTACTATTTGATCCAGTGCTGCACACCAAATTTAAGCTGCAACTTCACTCCGGTGCCGTGTGAACTCCTTAGCTGTGCAGCCCTTGGCCTCTCTCTGCCCCTCTGAGCAGCCCATTACTCATTAGGTATTGGGGAGCATCCTAAATCTTCTGCAGCAGGCAAATCTGCAGTTTTACCGCTTCTCATTTTTGCTCATATATTTGAATTGAAGATAGTAAGCAAGTTTGGATCTCTTAGGTAGCAAAAAAATTAGAGTAAAGAAAGAAAATTATTAATAAAGAACACCTACTAACAGTCTTTGCAAACTCATTCTGAAGGAAAAGGATCAAAACATCCTGTTTCTTGCTTAGCTAAGATCCCTTCCTGCATTCCCCAATTATTTAATGTTTGGCTGCATGTTTGTGCAATAGTTTCCAAGATTAATCCTAGTTATCTTCCTATCCAAAATTAAAATATATGCATATTCCCCTGCAAATCTTTTCCACAGTGAAATACTTCTTTCTGGAAAGCCTCAGTGTCAGGATCTTATTGTCAGCACTACGGTACACTCAAAATGCATTTATTAATACACTTTTCTTCCATTACTGCCCATGTTCTAGGGCAACAGCATAACCATTTATGTAAAGCAAACACTCAAGCTCCATTAAAATACATTTCACTGGAAGAGACAGTCATATTTTCATTGCCAAACTCCTGCTTAATGTTTATTTTGTGTTGCTTTGGGTCATTTGTGTATGCTTTAGCTCTTACATCAAGGTTACTTAAGGGAAGGCATCAGTCAGTACCCTTGGCTTCTTGGGCTGTGTGGCAATAAATTATGTGCAGATTTCAACCTTATTGTCTAGATTTCTTCAGACTTCTCAACCAGAGACATAATATCTTTATTCTTGCCTTTATGCCTTAATTTCTCCAGAAAATGAAGGTAACAGAGTTTCCATGGAAACTGAGGCACAGATTGTGTGCTAGGAGACAGGTTCCCTCTATGTGCTGTTGGGAAATGTCCAAGGTGCACAACTGTGTCTCTGAATGAGGAGCTCAGAATGTTTATCTGCTGGTTAAGATGCAATTTCAACACAGCTGTGCAAGTGTGCCCAGATCCCTCAGTATTGCCCTGCCTGCCTGAAATAAGGCAATACAACTGGGAAGCTTAAATAA